GAATGAACAAATCTGTCTTGGAAGAAGTACAACCCGAATGCTCCTTAGAAGCAAGGATGGCAAGACTACATCTCACATACTTTGGACATATTATCAGGAGGGATCAGTCCCTGGAGAAGGACATCATGCTTGGTAAAGAAGAAGGTCAGCAAAAAAGAGGAAGACCCTCGACGAGATGGATTGACACAGTGGCTGCAACAGTGGGCTGAAGCATAACAACGATTGTGAGGATGGCGCAGGACCAGGCAGCGTTTGGTTCTGTTGCACATAGGGTCGCAATGAGTCAGAACCAACTCAATGGCACCTAACAACAACATCAACAACCCTCGCAGGTGGACTCTGGAGCTCACATTCTAGAGCAAGAGCTCATAAACTTGGGGTTCCCAGACCCCTAGAGCTCTCAAGGACCTGTGAACACCAATAAATGATATGCCACATATGGGAATGTTCACACCCTGTGAATACTTTTCCAAGGAGTAGATTTGTAGCTTTCATCACATTCTCAAAGGCATCCATGACACCAAATATGTGGAGAGGGAGAAACAAGGCAGATAAATGAGTAATGCTAATATTCAATCAACAAGCATTTACTGAGTGCCCACTATGTGCCAAGCCCTGGAATTTAGCATGAACAAGACAGACACAGCCCCTGTCCTCCTGAGGGAGAGACGGTAAAACAAGTCCTCACAGGCAGCAGAGTGTGTCAGAAGGTGGTGGCAGGGGGCCATAACCATGCATATTCAGGAGCCCTGATACAAGGTAGAAAAGCTATACGGACATCAGGGCCATCAAGAGTGGGTGTGGAGACAGGGCTGCAGAGCCTATGGAGAGAGCACAGGGCTCCACTAGAAGGATCCAGGCAGGCTTCACAGAGGAGGTGGCATTTATCTGGACACAAAGATGGAAAGGAGAAGGGTGTTCCAGGTGGAGGGAACCACCTGGACAAAGGCACAGAGGCAAGAAATGAGGTGTGTCTGGGAACCCTGGGGAAATCATTCCCTTCTGGTGGCATGTAGGGGGAGCAGTGAGCTGTAAGTGGGGCCAGATCATAGAGAGCTTTGAATGCCAGGCAAAGACACTCATCTTTGTTCTATCAGCAATAGAGAGCCCTGCTGACCAACCCAGCTTGCTAAGGTTTGGGGGCAGCATCTAACTGGTCGGCAGCAGAGATGTCTGAGCAGGCTTGGAGCCCCTGCTGTGCGCTGCCTTAGCTCCCTGACCTGATGCATTCCTGTCCTTCCTGCCCAGCCAGCCCAGCAGAAAGGGCTTCCCTCAGTGTTGTTGGGAGGGAAACTGAAAGCCAGTTGTGAGGATCTGGCAGGACCACAGGCCATGCAATGAATCTGGGCAAGAAAGGGAATGTCTCTGGGCTCTGGTGAGGGCTCACTTGGGGAGGAGCGAGTCATGGCTGAATACTCCACGAGGAGGAAGCATGGACCAGATCCTGGTTGCTTTTCATCCGGGAGACAGTGCACACAGTGGTTAAGAGCACTGGTCCTTCGGCTCAAGTCTGATAAACCTGGGTTCAAATCCTAGCCATGCCGCTCACTAACTGTTTGGCCTTGAGCAGATTACTTAGCTCCCAGAGCTGCAAATCTTCGTGTGTGAACTGGGGAGAATGATCCCTTCCTCATGGAGTTCTTAGGAGGAGGAGATGAGACAATGCAGATAAAGAGCCTGGCACAGCATCAGCCACAGACAAAGGACTGGGTGAACGGCAGCTGCTAGTAGTATTATTACTGTATCTTGGTCATCTGGATTCTGCTCGCTTCTACAGACATTGAGGACCTATTGTGTGCAGAGCTTTGTGCACGGTGCCAGGAAAGGGAGAAATGAGAAAAGATCACATGCCCATCCTTTCCTTTCAGGCACACACAGTCTAGGGTGGTGGTTCTTAACCTCTTCTAGGGTCTCAGATTTCTCTGAGACTCTGCTAAAAGTTTGGGATCCCATAGCCAGAAAAACACACAGACATTATGTGTATGTGTGTATATAAAATTATCATAAAGACAAATTATATCTAGAAATATAATATTTCTAAACTTATCAAAGATGGATTTGGGGTAACTTATTTTCTAAAATATCTATTTTCAGAATTTTTAGGTTATTTATAAGGAACATGGATTATTTTTCTAATCCAAAAGGCAATATAATAATAATGATGATAATAAGAATAATAAATGCATTCCATTTCAGGAAGTTACCAGATTCCCCCACCCCCCACCCCCGCACACACACACCCCAAAGCCTATCAAGTGGTTCATGGACCCAAATTAAGAACCCCTGACCCAAAAAGCTAGAGAAACACCCACACAAATAATCTAAAATAAAGCCAGTGTGTTAGAGCAGGGGTCAGCAGACTTTTTCTATAAAGGGCCAGGTAGTAAATATTTTAGACTTGGAAGGCCATACAGTCTCTGTCACAACTACTCAACTCTGCTGTTGTAGTGTGAAAACAGCAAAGGAAGTGACATGGCTGTGTTCTAATAAAACTAGTTAGTTATAAAAAGTTTGGCCATAGTTTTCTGACCTCTGTGCTAGAGGTTCCAACTCCTAGATTCCTGGAATGTCTGAAACAGAGGCTGGGACTGGTCAACTGACATGTCCAAGGCCACATAGCCAAGCAAGGTGATGCCTCAGCCAACCCGTACGGTGGCCCAGAGACTCCAGCCCCTAAAAGCTCTCTGGGTGCCAGTCTGATCCTGTCATTCCTTTCAGCCTCCAACTCCAAGAATGGCTCCCTCCAAAGTCACAGCTCCTGGAGCAGTGGGAGGTTGTGGAGGGCCAGGAGGTCTGGGTGGCTGGGGGCCAGTTGTCTGGGAGGGGGAATATGGGGATAGGTCATCTTTCTTTTCCTTCAAAGAATTTTGCTGACCCAGCGCTAGGGACAGAGCTGGGTATTTGACGTCCGGGTTACCTCTTTCTCTTTCTGCATCAAAAAATAAAAATCCACATCAGATCAGGAATCAGATTAACATGCCCCATGTCCAGCCCCATGCTGATCACCAAGGTACACAGAAAGGTTTAAGACTTGGCTAGTAGGGGATGTGGGTGGTGGGCCCAGGGACCATGGCCCCTCAGACCCTGAGTGAGGCAGCCCTTCCAAACTCTGGGGTCTAGCTGTGTGGGCTGAGGCAGCCGGGAGAGCTCCTGAGGGGAGACGAGACTTGAATTAGGCCTTGAAAGACACGGGGGAGGTCTCCTTAGCAAGAGCCCAGGAAGGACACAGTCTATTGCCTGTTCTTTTTGTAATTTAGTTCCAATTCTCTGTCTCCCTTCTTGACTTCCTCTTTCTTTACTTTGCACCCCTGACTGTCTATCACAAGGTGGCAAGCTTACCTATCTTTTTATGCCCACATCCATGACAGACATTGCTAATCAGTCCTGGCAGCCTTTTAAGCTGCTCCAGGAAGCCCTTACTAATCAATTAGAGTTGGAACAAGAGCTAGAACCAATTTACCATCTCTACTGATCTCTCAATTCTCCTCACCCTTCTTCCTAGCTCAATGCCCACTTGCCCACTGAGGCCCAGAGAGGCCAAGTGACTTGCAGGGGTTTGCCCAGTTCTTATGAGGACCAACTACGAGTGCATTTCCCTCCATGGAGGGGCTGTCTCCAACCTCACCTTTCCATTTGTCCACATCTGAAGTCTGTTCATGTGACCGAGCCTGATCTTCTCCCCTCAGTGACCCCAGGCATGAAGATCTACATCGATCCTTTCACCTATGAGGACCCCAATGAGGCAGTCCGGGAGTTTGCCAAGGAAATTGACATCTCCTGTGTCAAAATTGAGCAAGTGATTGGAGCAGGTACCTGGGGTCCTCTGCAATGGGTGGGGGACCACCCCATCTGTACTCCTGGGGCAGAGATGAGAGGGTAGCATATGGGGCAGGGGCCTCAAGGACCCTCCAAGACCTGAAGACTCAAAATGCCCGAGATGAAAGGGCCCTCAAAGGTCATCCAGTAAAACCACACTGTCAAACAGATAGGGAAACTGAGGCACAGGGCTGAGAAGGAGCTGTCACAGGAAGTCAGAGATTGAGCTAGGTTTGGAACCCAGTACTTCCTGCTTTTCACCATTAACCCATGGTCTCCCTCCCCATCTCCCCAGGCGCCCTATATCCTCACCCCCATACTCCCACCCAAAATTCACAGCAACCATAAAGAATTTACTCTCTACTCCCACAGTGGCTGGAACTTTTCAGGGTCTCCTTGGGTCTGCCCTTGGGAGGTCCCCACATTCTGAAATAGGTCTGTATCTGAGAAAACTAATTGACCATTGAGGAGAAAGAGCTCCTACAGGCCTCAGGAGCAGAAGCGACAGGGAACAAGGATGTGGCACTCCCACCTAGCAAGTGACATCCTATCTCTCTTGGTCTGTCTGTCCCAGGGGAATTTGGTGAGGTCTGCAGTGGTCACCTGAAGCTACCAGGCAAGAGAGAGATCTTTGTGGCCATCAAGACACTCAAGTCAGGCTATACTGAGAAACAGCGCCGGGACTTCCTGAGCGAGGCCTCCATCATGGGCCAGTTCGACCACCCCAATGTCATCCACTTGGAAGGCGTTGTCACCAAGAGCACACCCGTTATGATCATCACTGAGTTCATGGAGAATGGGTCTCTGGACTCCTTCCTCCGGGTAGGGGAAACTGAGAGTGCCAGAGGTCCATGAGTGGGGCAGAACAAGGAGTATGGACATAGATTCATACTGTAAGAAGAGCTTGAAGGGGTCTTAGAAAAGCTCTAAGTTAGGAATGGCATGCATGCTGCCACTCTCCATTCCTTCACCTATGACAGGCATTGCTAATCAATCCCAGCACTCCCTCCCACTAAGACCAGAAGCCATCTCAAAATCCTTCTAAATATGGTTCCCTCGGAAGCCACAGCCAGTCGTTCAGAGTTGGCACACAATCTGAAATCTGGTTGCCATTCATGCTCTTAGCCAGTCTTCTCATTATGCACAGGGGAAAACTGAGGCTCAAAGAGAAGCAGAGTTTGCCCAAGGTCACCTAGAGGGTCAAGGTTAGAGCCACAACTGGTACTAGGTCTCCTGACCGCCAGTCCAGAGTTCCCACCAGATTTTGGATTTCCCAGCGTTGTACAGGCCAGGGAGGGGAGTTGAGAGCACAAGGCCAAGAGAGGAAAATTTAAGGCCTCCCAGGAGATAAGTCAATCTGCTGGACAAAGAGCACTGGACCGGGAGTCAGAAGCATGCCATTAGACTTGTTGCCATTCCACAAATATTTATTAAGTACTTATGCAGTGGTTAAAGTCCCCAGCTGCTAACCAAAAGATCAGTGATTTGAACCCACCAGCCGCTCCTTAGGAGAAAGATGTTGGCAGTCTGCTTCCATAAAGATTACAGCCTTGGAAACCCCATGGGACAGTTCTGCTCTGTCCTATAGGTCGCTATGAGTCAGAATCGACTCAACGGCAATGGGTTTGGTTTTTTTATGTGCCAGGCACCTTCCATGTACCTTCTCATTTAACTCTCAGAATAGCCCTGGGAAGTGGGTGTTACTTATCCCCATTTAACATACAGATGAGGAAACCAAGACTTGGAGAAGTTAGGTCACTTGTCCAAGGTTGCACAGCCAAGAAGGGGCAGAGCCAGAGTCAAACCAAGTGTGTCTGCTCCAACGCTCATGTTCTCTCCACCACTCTGAAGTCAGCCTCTCATGGGCTTCTCTAAGGTTCCTGGGCATCTGAGTCCTTCTCACAGGGAGCCCAGGGCCAGGGTGGCAGGGTCTTTATCTGGTCCCCCACTGGGGGATGGTCCAGAGCTCTGATTTCTGCTCTTCCACTCACTCTGCATTTTCTTGACTTCTCCCAAAGCAAAATGACGGGCAGTTCACAGTCATCCAGCTGGTGGGCATGCTGCGGGGCATCGCGGCTGGCATGAAGTACCTGGCGGACATGAACTATGTCCATCGTGACCTGGCCGCCCGCAACATCCTTGTCAACAGCAATCTAGTCTGCAAGGTGTCTGACTTCGGGCTCTCACGCTTTCTGGAGGATGATACCTCAGACCCCACGTACACCAGTGCCCTGGTAAGATATAGGCGGGCACACTGGGATCACCTGTGCCCAGTGTGGATATTCATCTCTCCCTGAAATACACCTTCACTGACACCTGCTTGTGCCAATCACTGGGCTGGGCCCTGGGAACACAGAATGAGATAACCACAGATCCTGCCCTCTTGGAGCTCACAGACTCGTGGGGTCACAGATGTGCAGAGCAATATGGAATGACAGGGCTATGAACCAAGAAGCCCAACCTTAGCAGGCACTGGAAGGCTTCCTGGAGGGTGTGATATCTAAGCTGACAGCTGAAGGGCCAGTAAGCTTGTTATATAAAAACGGAAAGGAAAGAGCCTCCAGGTAGAGGGCACAGCAGAAGGCAAGATCAGGCTGTAAGGGGGAAAGGCAGTGAGCAGTAATACTGGAGAGATAGGCAGGGGCTAGATTTTAGAGGCCCTTAAATACCCGAGTTCAGGATTCTGTCCTGAAGGCAGCTAGAGTTGTTGAAGTGTTCTTAAGCAGAAAGGAATAAGACACAGTCCCTGCCCTCAAAGAGCACAGAGATTACTGCAAATAGAGCCAGACAAGCAGGCAAATAATTTGAGTACTGTTTTTGTATGCTAAGCATCTTGATAGGAGATGTGAAGCACAGTTTTAGGATTAAGGAGAGTGATCAACTCTTTGGAAGTTAGTCAGAGAGACTTAAAGGATGAGAAAGAAGTCTTTAGAAGGCATAATGGGAAAAGGCACTCCGTGCAGATGGAACAGCATATGCAAATACCCAGAGGTCTGAAGCAGCATGGTGAGCTTGGGAAACAAGAAGGCACATCATGTGATCCATGCAGCACAGACTTGGGGTGAGCAGTATTGAGAGCAAAGCTTAGACAGATCAGCGTTCACCCATCAACCGTCCCATTCTCATTCCCCAGGGTGGGAAGATCCCGATCCGCTGGACAGCCCCGGAAGCTATCCAGTACCGGAAATTCACCTCCGCCAGCGATGTGTGGAGCTACGGGATCGTCATGTGGGAAGTGATGTCCTACGGGGAGCGGCCCTACTGGGACATGACCAACCAGGACGTAAGTTTCCAAGGGGGTGGGAAGAGCCTTTCTGGCTAGCCAGAGAGGGTAGAGGAAGATTGGAAATTCCTAGCATTGTGCCAGTCTCCCAGGGATGAGAGAGGTCTCTGAGATCCAGGCCTGGCTGTCAGGGCAGCTCCCAGCCCTGTGCTGACTTGTTCAAACATCTACACAGGACCCTGGACTCTCCGGGGGTAGGGAGTAAGGAAGGCCTACCCATCCACAAATCAGTAAATCTTCAGGGTACACACATCTATGGCCAACTCTGAATGAGACCACGTCTTCCCTTCAGATGTTTCCCACTAGTTGGGGTGACAAGACGAATATGCAGGGAACCAGATGTCATTATCAGGAAATTTGATGACAAAGCACTGTAAAAATGGCATGGGGGTGGTGTCTGACCACCTCTAACTTCACAAGGGGGAAGGAGAACACAGAGCAACAGCCCAATGCTGATTCCTATGAGGCAGAGGTCAGACATACCTCTCTCTCTGCCATCTTTACCAATTCTGACACCAACTGTCCCTCCCACAGCACTCTCTACTTCTCTGCTGGGTTTGATAATTCATTGCAATGGCCACACAGAACTCACAGACAATATTCACGATTATGGGGTTTATTAGGGAAGTAACAGTTACAATTCAGGCTCAGGAACACTCAGAAAACAGTTCTTCTATTAGGACAGCCTCTTCTCAGCGGTGCTTGCAGGCACGTCTCTCCCTGGCCCTAGGCCTCTGCCCGAAGACACTCAGCTTTCTCTCTCCTTGGGCTGGGAAGCCCACCACGCTGTCTCCTACTGCCAGGTCTCTGCTGCCAGGTCTCTGCCACCGCTTCTCGCTGCCTTCAGTGTTACAGCTCTCTCTCTGTCTCCTGGTTCCAGGAGCTTCTCAGCACAGGGATCTCAGGTCCAATGGCTGGCTCCTTGGTGGTGGTGGGATCTTCTCTTTCCCACCTCTAGTGTGGCTCATTTCAAGCCCAGCAGGATGGCAAAACTAACCAATCCCTTTGGTGGGCCACAATTACCCTATCACACAGTCCCACCCAATCACTTGGGTAGGAGCTACAAGACCATGACTAGAAAGGCCACACAAAAGCGATCCACACTGCAAGCGCTAAATTGGAGAAAGCAAGTGTCGAGCCCTGTAGGTGCTGAGGCAAGGCAGTGTGGGCAAGATCACTCAAGGGAGTCTTCACAGGACTGCTGGGACTCAACAGTAATGAGACTTGGAGATGTCAGTGCTTTCCAAGGGGAAGAACAGCCTGTGCAAAGACCCAGAGGTGGGATAATGAGACAGGCTGGCTTACCAGCATGAGGGGTTGTGTTGGGGAGCAGTGGAGAGGAAAGTTGGTCAGAAAGGTTGGTGAGGTTCAATAATGGGGTATTGACAGTCAACCCAAGGAGTTTTGATTGGAAACAATGCATAACAGAGAGGACTTGAAGAAGTTTCTTGAGCAGGGAGGGTGACCACAGTAGGGTTGGGGAAGATGAATCTGGCCTTGGTAGCAGGAGAAATTGGAGAGAATGTTTGAGCTCCTTTCTCTCACAAGAGCTGGGCGGGAGTGGTGGGCGGGGGTACCGGCCAGGCTCAAGGCCACGCTGTGGGGCCTGACACAGGAAGTATCTCTTACCTGGAGCTTGTAAGTGGCACTGAACTGGAGGCATGCGGCCATCCTGGAGCCAAGCAAAGGGCCAGAAAGGGGAGTCCTCAGAGCCATCAAAGCCAGAGGGGGCTCAGAGATTCAGGGAGGGAGAAGCTGGTGGAGTAGCCCACAGGAAGGTCAGCCTGGTGGAACCCTGAGGCAGAGGTTATCTCAGGGCACTGGATGGTCTGAGACTGGGGGGGGCGGGGAGGGCAAGGACAAGCTGCCAGGTCAGACCGAGAGGACAGCTGGTAGGAGCCCAGGTGAGGCCCATCATTGGGGGTGCCTCCAGGAAATGGATGTCGTTGCCATGGCAACCACATAGGTCGGACCTGCGATGCACTGAGGGCAAGACTGGCCAGGCAGGAGGGCAGATGCCCTCACCCCACTCCGACCCTGTGTTGTCCTCAGGTAATCAACGCCATTGAGCAGGACTACCGGCTGCCTCCTCCCATGGACTGCCCGAGCGCCTTGCACCAGCTCATGCTAGACTGCTGGCAGAAGGACCGCAACCACCGGCCCAAGTTCGGCCAGATAGTCAACACGCTGGACAAGATGATACGCAACCCCAACAGCCTCAAAGCCATGGCGCCCCTCTCCTCCGGGTACGGCCCCGCCCCGGCCCCGCCCCTCTCCTCCCGGTACGCTCTGCCCCGGCCCCGCCCGTCCCCTCTAAGTAAGATTCAGCCTTGGTCCAATCCTGGCCCCGTAAGGTCCCGCCCCTATCTCGCCCTTCTCCTCTCGGTACCATCCATTTTGGGCCCCTACCCGACCCCGCCCCTCCCTCCAACTGCCCCCTCTGGCCCCGCCCTCTCCTCCCAGTACAGCTCCGCCCCCGCCCCGCCTCCCTTCTCCCTACTCCCGTACAGCCCCGCCCCTCTCTCCTCCCTCGATGGCCCCGGCCCCGCCCCTCTTCTCCTTCCATGGCCTCCGCCCCGCCTACCTCCTCTCTCTTTAAGGAGTAACCCCCCTTAGGGCTCCCCGGTGTTCAGGCAGATGCTCTCCACCTCAGCTTGGGGTCGAGGAGGGATGGGAGTAGTGTTTGCCAGGCATCTACCCTGCCTTGGGTGCAGAGGAGAAGGACGCGCACTCTGAGTGGTAGAGGAAGCACCTGGGGACGAGAGAAGGGTGAGGGGTGGGGGCGTTAGGAAAGTGTTGAAGCCCGAACCGGTTCTTGAAGGATGAATAGGGGACTTCCAGGGGGAGGCGAGATGGGTGCAAAGGCAAGAAATACTTCAGCGAGTATAGGGTGCAGATAGGGAAGAGATGTGGCAGAAGGAAGAAGCAGGGGACTGGGGTGCAGGTAGCTCCTGAGGCATGTGAATCGCTGGCCTGCCTAAAGAAACTAGTGAGAGCTTTTTAAAGCACAGTCTGAGGGGACAACATTTAAGAAACATCACCAAAGGGTCCAGAATCTTGGTTAATAGATTTAGTCATTACTAAGTTTCTTCTCTATCTATACTCATCCTTGAACCCGGACCCTCCAACTTATATTTGTATCCTCGTCAACACATCACACACACACACACACACACACACACACACACACACACACAGTCACACACGGTCACACAAATACAGTCCTACACACAATTATGCAGACACTCTTGCTTATGCTCACACACACACATAGAATCCCACACTCGTGGGTGCACACCAGTCTCAGGCCCTCACACCTGTACACATCCACAAGCCCCTGGGCACCCACCTACATTCATAGCACTTACCCCACACACACACATGCCCCTACACTTGGGTCACCTTCCCTGAACCAGAGAGACTGGCTCAACTGGAGGAGGGTGCTTCCCTTCTCCCCAGGGGTCCCAGGGTGCTCGCCTTGTGCACCATCAGGCCTATAGCTCAGCCTTGCCTTGCTTGAGTGACGATTTCAGGTCACACTCCCAGCCCCACATGTTTTTACTCTTCAAGACCCTCAGTTCCCCAAGGTTTCTGAGGATCCTGATGTCTTCAGGATCTAGGGCTGGCTATGGTCAGAGACTCTTTGGGTCTAAATCCTTCAGCCGCCAAGTTTTCATGGCCAGGCGACCTTCCTGCTTGCATTTACCTGTAGCTCCTCACCATGACCCTGCCCCAGCCTCCTGACTCTCCTGGTAAAATCACCCTGCAGTTTTAACCTCAGGAGAGTCATCTCACTCCTTGCCAGCCAGGAAGTCATTCCCATCAGTGCCACCAACTTTATCTAGACTTTGGAGATGCAGTCCACAACATCAGCCTCCTGGAGCACACACCAGAGTGGAGAAGGGTGGAGAACAGCACTAGGGGAGGAAACAGTGAATAATCAGCAGTTAGTCCAGTTGAAATCCTGCTCCTAAAAATAAGCATGGGAAGGAAATCTCCCCTGCCTCACCACTGCGGTCCAGGCTCTTAGGAGCCCCAGCAGACGCTCCCCTAGAATTCCAGGGGACCCCAGCTCTGATTCCTGCACACATACCCTCACTCTCACGTTCTCACAAATATAAGCCAAAAAAAAAAAAAAAACCGGTTGCTGCCAAGTCAGTTCTGACTCATGGCAACTCCATGTGTGTCAGAGTAGAATTTGGCTCCGTAGGTTTTTCATGGCTATAATTTTTACAGAAGCAGATCACCAGACCTTTCTTCCGAGGTGCTGCTTGGTGGATTCGAACCACCAACCTTTCATTTAGTCACAGTGCGCAAACTGTGCCACCCAGGACCTCTCACCTATATACATATGCATAATTACACAGGTTTCAACTCATGCCCACACTCACGCAGAAATACACGTGGACATACACATTCATTTATGTTCACACATATGGATATGCATGCATGTGCACATACACACGCAGCTCACAGGCGTGTCCATGCACGTACTTACCCTCAGCCTCCCTGCAAGCATGAGCCCTGACCATCTCTGTCGCCCACCCCACCACCACCCCCAGAATCAACCTGCCGCTGCTGGACCGCACCATCCCCGACTACACCAGCTTTAACACTGTGGACGAGTGGCTGGAGGCCATCAAGATGGGGCAGTACAAGGAGAGCTTTGCCAACGCCGGCTTCACCTCTTTCGACGTTGTGTCACAGATGATGATGGAGTAAGTGCCCGGCCTCCTCCACCTACCACAGTCAGTACCTCTCCCCACTCCTGCCCTCCAGCTAAATAGGGTGTTCTGGAAGGTGGGGAATAGACAACATCCCAGCAGAGAGTGGAGAGACCAAGGGGCGAGATGACCAACTTTGGAGTCACACCTGGTTTCACACCCAGGTCTGTCTGCCACCTGTGGACTGTGTGACCTTGGACAAGTCACAGAACCTCCCTCAGCCTCAGCTTCCTTGTCTATAAGCTGAGGGTTGGTAGGAAGATAAAAGGAGATTACTTAGTAAACGTGAGTTCCCTTCCCCTTCCCTGCAGGGGAGGAGAGAAGTGCACCCACGCCCTGACTCCCTGTCAGGTGTCCTTCCAGCTCATCCCAGTCGCTCACTCTAGCCTTGGATGTCCATCCCCGCCCCCCATCTCCATCGCCTCCCCCCCCAGCTCTCTTAAGCACAAACCCCAGGAGAGACCCAGGCAGCTCTCTGTCAGGCACAAAAGCCCCTCTACCCCATCTATCCCTAACACACGTCCTTTTCTCCCAAAGGGACATTCTCCGGGTTGGGGTCACCTTGGCTGGCCACCAGAAAAAAATCCTGAACAGTATCCAGGTGATGCGGGCACAGATGAACCAGATTCAGTCTGTGGAGGTGTGACCCTCACCTGCCTCGGCTCACCTCTCCCTCCAGGCCCCGCCCCCTCCGCCCAGCGCCGGCCCCCCGGCTCTCCGTCCACTGCAGGGTCAGCCGCCTGCCAGGATGCCACGGGCGCCAGGAAGAACCAAGCAGCACTCCAGCCACGAGACGCCACCAAGAACACCTGCGACTCAAGGATGGGAACACAAGAGAATGGGGAAAAAGAAAATCTACCCTGGGAGGGGGCGGGAAGTACAAGAAATACTTTCTAAAGAGGATTCTCACAAGGAAAGCGATGACTGTTCTTGAAAAAAAAGAAAAAATAAGGGCTTGGGAGATCCGTGTGATTTGTCCAATTGGAGGTCAAAAGCAGTTTCTCTCCAACTCCCTCTGGGAAGGTGACCTGGCCAGAGCCAAGGAATGCTTTCAGGAAAACAAATAGCAAGCGAGGAGAGAGGCCGCCCTTCCCTCCTGCTCACTGGCTTGTTCCTTCAGGCGTCACTCAACAGCCGAGCACCAGGCAAACGGGGCAGGCGGACAGGCAGCCGCCCTGGGAACCACCCCAGGAAGATCCATGCCCATTGCCACTGGGCGAATGGAAGAATTTTTCTGACTTTGGAGAAGATTTTAGAAACTCCAATGAAAGAGACCCATTTCTCCTGTTAGCTCATGGGGCTGAAAAGGGGCTTTTGTCCTCCTGGGCCAGGGAGAACTTGGGGACACCAGAAGGGTCAGCCTTCCTGAGGATGGCCACCCACCAGGCCGGTCGACACAGCTGCAGCTCCACGTACGTGTCGTGCCCGGCCTGCTGGCCTGGCCCGCATGGGTGCCAGCCCCCACCAGCCCCCACCCGGAGGACAGGTGCTGCAGTGACCGCCATCAGCTATGACTGCCACTGAGAAGAATTGATCCTGTGTCTGGGTTTGTTTACAGCGATTTGGTTGGAGGTGGTTGTGGTTGGGGGGGATTTGTCTGTTGGTTTTTGTTTTGTTTTTTTTTATGACAATGAAGTGACACTTTGACACATTTCCTACCTTTTGAGGACTTGATCCTTCTCCAGAAAGAAGGTGCTTTCTGCTTACCGACTTAGGCAATACACCAAGGGCGAGATTTTATATGCACATTTCTGGATTTTTTATATGGTTTTCATTGACACCCTTCCCTCCTTCCCTGTCCTCTGCATAGAGTTCCCCACCTGCTGTCAGGCCTCACCAAAGCCCACTGCCACAGGCCATCTGGGCCATTCAGAGACTGAGGGAGATTTAGGCAGGGTGGAGCGAGATAAAGGAGATCCCACCCCAGGCCTGTTTTGGAAGGCAGTAGATTGAGAGGGAAGTGGGCTTGGAGGCTGCAGGGCCAAAGTTCTTGCCTCTTCCCCACTCTTCTGCTCAAATCTATCCAGTACTTCCCTCAAGGTTCCTGAGTGCCCACAGATGGCTGGAACCCAGTTCTGCCTCTGGGTACCTGAGCTGGGCTGCCTCAGCGCCAGGACCCAGATCATTCACTGTGATACCCCAGCCCGCCAGAGGGTCACCCTCAGTGACAGGGGCCCCTCGGAGGTGGCCAGGCATGCTCCTTCCTTCCACTGGGAAGAAAGTATGTGATTTCCCTCCCACCTTCTTCCTTCCGCCAGACCTTTGCCCCGGACTGAAGGTCTTGGCCATGGGGAAACCATCTGTCTGGGGTTCTGGCCACACACGTCCTCCTGTGGGCAAGTGCAGGCGTCTGAGCGGAACAATCGGCTAGTGAATTGAATGAAAATAAACACTTTAGTTATAAAACGACCCCTGTTCTCTGTCAGTTCCAGGAAAGACCCCAGCACCCTTGGAATGTGCCAAGGGACGCTTTCTCCCTCAGGTTTCTCCCTCAGAGGTCTTGGGGCCTCTGGACACCCAGAGAGTGAAGCTGGGAAAACACATGGAGGACAACAAAGGCCCACGTAGCCTTTCTAGCTCTGGCCTGTCACAAGCATAGGCAACAAAAGAAACGAATGGGAAGTGGCTCAGAACGTGGCGTTCACGGCCCTTGGAATCAGGGAGAGCCACCCCAGGGTGCTTCAGGAGTAGGGAGTTGACAGGGGTTCTTGGGTGTCAGGTGAGCTGTGATCAGGATGAGTGCAAGGGTGGGCGTGTGGAAGAGAGGCAGGACATGGGGTCCTGGAGTACCCGTGGACCCCAGTGAGAGCCGCAGATATGATCTCCTTGTCCTGGCCAACTCTAATTTCCTCTGTACAAATGGGCTTCTACTCACATTAAACTCAGAATCCTTTGTATGGAAGGAGGAGATAGGGAGGGGGACGTGCTGTGGATATCAAGTCTGGCCGGGGATGAAGAGCAAGGAATCTAAGGAGAGCGGGGGCCAGGGTCACCACTGCTCAGAACTTTTCCTTTGTCTGCTGAGTTTCGTAGAGGAGACTGACCAGTGGGAAAGATTGAGGCCACAAGCAGCCAACCGATGGCCCCTCCATGCGAGCTAGCATCCAGCACAGACCAGCCTGTCATCTGTCTGTCACTCACCTGTTCTCTGGAGCCCGCGATGCAAAGGGAAGGAAGGGATTAGCGAGGAGCATGGCCCCTGGGGTGGAACAGCAGAGCGAGCCACAGGGAAGACATTGGCAGGCTTCCCACAGACTGGCCGCAGTGCCCCAGCCGGCCATCCCTTTGTGCCCTTAAGATGCCCAGCACGGGTGGCAGCTGTCCCGGGCACACAAGGTCACCTTCTGGAAGGAGGTGTCCTGATGCTCTTTAGATTAACTCTGCCTCCCCAGCCTGCCCCCCCACTGCAGTGGGGCCCCACAAGGGGCTGGCATCAATGCCTCCTGTCAGATGGCTTCCTGTCCTAAGCTGCTAGGCTGGTGTCTGCCAGCCAGCACGTCTGCCCACCCACCCTCCCTGACTCCCTCAGAGTAAAGGTGCTACCCAGGCCCTCTGTGTCTTCACTTCAGGGGAACAGACAGACGTCACTGTGACCAACCTGGCAGTGCAGGCAGCCGCTCCCTTCTCCCTGCTCTTGGAGCAGGTCCCCCCCCCCCCGCCTCCAACCTCTTGCTTCTTGGCGGGAGTGGCAAGACACGCTGCCAACACCTCCAACTTGCGCTGCCCGCTTGCCCAGGCCACACGGCTCTGAAGCCGCCTGCTGTCTGGTTACTAATCCTTTCCTGGCCCAACCGCCCTGAGCACCAGCCTCCACCTGCCCGGAGTGTTAGAGGGAGTTTCCGGCTGTTCTTCGCACAGTTGGTACTTGAGGAAAGACAGCCGCCTTGTAAACACAGGCCAGGTCACCAGGGAAATGGGGGCCAGCTGCTCCAGGAGGATGTGACAGGCAAACCTGCAGAGAGCCAGGCAGGGTATAGAGTGCCATGCCATCCACCCCCCGCCCCTACTGTCCCAGAGGTCTCCCAAATTGTTGATGATTAGCAGGCCTTATCCTGGGGGTGATATTCAAAATATCTATCAACTGGTAAGACGCTGCAGACCAATCAGCACCGAACCAAAAGGCCATGAAGTAGGGGCTAGGGTGGCAGGAACAGTGGAGGACACTTAAGGAGCTCAAGGCAGTGGCTGTTTACAAACTGGAGGTGCCTCTTGTTCAGATGGCATCAGCTGGACTTTTCTAGTTGGTCCCCACCCAGCCACTCTCAGGGAGCTCTCTGCTGCTCCCTTGTGGTGAGTCTGTAGCCTTGCACCCTTCTCTGTTCATGAGTCCTCTCCAGAAGGCTGGGAGCTCCAGGCCCCTGCTCAGCTCTTCCTCACACTTGGCTGAAGCACATGGTAGACCCAGGCCCCAGACCACAACCCACCACAGCGCTGGGTCCCTGGCCATCACTGGCTCTCTCCGGGGCCCCTGTAGTTCCAAGATGGTACCAAAGGCTGGAAGACTCTTGTCAGGGAAAATAATGTAAATGTATTAAAGAACAGGATGCAGCGAGATGCCAGGGAAGACACCCTGACACTAGGTGACAGCCCTGTTCCTGGCACTAACTTGAGGTGAAGATCTGAGGGAGCTCATCCCCTCACTGAGCCTCAGCTCCCCATCTGAAAATGAAAGGATTGGGCTGGGTGAGCCAGGCTGTGCAGAACACTTTCTATACTGCAGCCCTACGAGAGGAGACTACGTCCCTCCACCTGCAGGGGGGAAACAGGCTTAGAGAGGTGGAGTAGCTTGCTCAGAATTACAGCCTGGAAGGGACAGAGCAGGGCCGTGAACCTTGGTTTATCTGCTTCTAGTTTTCACCCCACCACACTCAGATGACATGGAGCACTTGGTGCCTGAAGCTGGTTGGTAAGAGAAGAGAAAGTTCAAACGGGCTGGGGTTGTCTGGGAGGGCTTCGTGGAAGAAGGTGCCTTGAAAATGAAAGAGGTGGAGAGCAAAGTCATCCCAAGTACAGTGTAACCAAAGAGGTGGAGGACTGGTCCAATGCAGTGAGGAGATGTGTCTGGACAGGCCAAGGAGTGGCAGATGAGGGTTGATATAAGGGGAGGTTGAGGCAGTCTGGACATGACGCAGTGCAGCCACAGTAGGTTCTTGAGCAGAAGAGTGGACAGGGTGAGCATCCGGTTCTAGTAGGAGGAGTCAGCTCAGCCATCAGATGGGAGCAGGATGCCTTGCAGCTACCCACCTCCCATGGGAAGGAGAGCCCCCAGAGAAACCAAAAAAAAACCAAACCCGTTGCCATCAAGTTGATTCCAACTCATAGTGACCCTATAGGACAGAATAGAACTGCCCCATAGAGTTTCCAAGCAGCAGCTGTCAGATTTGAACTGCAGACCTTTTGGTTAGCAGCCGAGCCCTTAACTACTGTGCCACCAAGGCTCTGCCCCCAGAGAAGTCCTCATTTATTCCGGGAGCATCCAGGCCCTGCTGCTTCGTTTTCCGTCTTCACTCACTGATGCAGATAATCCAAAGAATCATTTCAGCTGCTTTGAACAACAGGGTTGGATTTTGTGCTACTGATTTCTCCTCTTAATTCAGCTGCATTCAACTGATGCCCACCTCTCTCTTCCAGGCCTCTCTGAGAGTCGGCAGGGGCCACAGTGGGGAGAGAGCTGCCAGGTGCCAAGGGAGCTGCCCTCTGCTCATGGCCGGATGCTGAGTCGATGTGGGTGGTGGCTGACAGCCCTGGGAAGGCAGGCAGGCAGACATGGCAGAGCCCTGGGGCACAGAGCAGAGTGCTGGGGGAGCAAGGGCTGGGGTTGTGTGAGTGGGTATGAAAAACTGCTCAGGAAGCCAGTCTCTGCCCCGGTTGCCCTGGCCCTGGAGAGGTCACCCAGGCATGTTGGAAGGGGCCTAGTCCTGTCCTCTTCAATACTATGTTATCCAGATTCCTATCCGGAGGGCAGTTTAGGCATCTACACGGCTGTGTGACGCTACCGCATGTGCATACACCACTGCCAGCCTTGACCCAGCCTCCTGCAAAACGGCTCCTGCCATAAAAGTTAGGATGAAGAAGGGACACGAAGCCGGCCCATTTCTCCCTCACGGAAACCTAGATCCAGATGTTGGACCCAGGAAAGGACTTGGCTTGTGTTACATAACTGACTGGGAAGAGAGTGGGCTTGGCATACCCCATTGCAGGACGGTCTCAGGGTTGCAATAAGAACGGAACATTTACCGGATGCCAAGGTCCTTGGGTAGTGCAAATAGTTTGCTCTCAGCTACTAACCAAAAGATTGGCAATTCGTATCTACCCAGTGACACTGTGGAAGAAAGGCCTGGTGATCTGTTTCCATAAAGATCACGGCCATTGAAAACCCTGTAGAGTGCAGTTCTACTCTGTAACATACGGGATTGCTATGAGTTGGAATCAACTTGACGGTGACAGGTTTAGTTTGGGGTTGATTTTACCATATGCCAGGCGCCGTGTGCTAAGGACCTTATAGGTATTATCATCCTCGCTCTACAGGTGAGGAAACTGAGGTTCCCATTTCCTTCCCCTCTCTTTCTAAATTTTTGCCATCACCTAGCTGTATCAGAATTCCCTGGGCTACATGTTCAACTTGCAGATTTCTGGGCTCCGCCCCAGCCCCCTAAAT